AAAAAATCATAGCAAATAACCTTCTGAATCTCCTACTGTCAAACCATATAATATCCAATAATCAACATGGATTTTTACCAGGTCGTTCCACTGGAACCAACCTACTTGAATGCCTTCATCAGTGGACGAGACTCATTGATCAAGGAGATACCATCGATATTATTCACTTGGACTTCTCCAGGGCGTTTGACCGAAAACCACAAAAACGTATACTTTTGAAACTGGAACATTACGGTATTCATGGATTGTTACACAAATGAATACAATCGTTCCTTAGCCACAGAATCTTCAAGGTCCGAGTAGGCGATGCTTACTCCACCCAGCACAAAGTCCTTTCTGGCGTTCCACAAGGGTCTGTCTTAGGCCCCATACTCTTCCTCATATATACGTCAGACATACCATCAATTCTGCACTGCACCAACTCCCTCTACGCTGATGATAAAAAATATTCTGCAACCCTCTTGTTGATTCGCACCACTTGCAGTCTGATTTGAAACTTCTGGAAGAATGCTGTAGCGACTGGCTAATTCCCCTCAATCCTTCAAAATGTACAGTTTTATATATCGGTCGCAACAAACCGTATATTCGTTATCACATTGGAAATGTACCAATCCAATCAGTGGAATCCCAAACAGATCTTGGCGTGACAATAAACAAATCGTTGAATTGGTCGGAACATATTGGCAACATTGTAAAAAAAGCCAACAGCACTTCTTACATTGTTAGGAAGTCGTTCCACCCCCCGGATAAGAAGTTATTTGTTCAACTGTATGAAAGCTCCATACAACCCTTACTGGAGTACAATGTCGTGATATGGTCACCCAATCTTACTAGAGACATAGTACTACTCGAGAATGTTCAGCGAAAACTAACGAAATGGGTGCCACAACTCTACGAACTGAAATACCACGACAGACTCACTGCACTGAATTTGACTCCCTTGAAAGAAAGACGAGAACGAGGTGACCTCATTCAATGTTACAGAATACTCAATGCTACCTCCTCTGTGGATCTCAGCCATATCTTCTCCTTAAATACCGACGGAAGACTCTGTGACCACAGTGGGAAGCTTTCTGAGGAAATATTCAGAACCTCTCCAAGACAGCATTTTCTTACTAATAGACTTGTCTACAAGTGGATCTCTCTAACCGACGCTATAGTTACGACTTCATCTATAAATGTCTTCAAAAACCGACTCGACCATTACAACAACAGCTATTCGACTCAAAATGTGCTCCGGGTTTAGTGCGTGTTATACAAGTGCGTGTAACTCGATTCATATGTGTCAACCTCTCGTGTAAATATGTCCGAAATCTCGCTTCATATGTCAATATCTTGTTATTTTACTAGTGATAAATTTTGTACTTTTTATTTAGTTTTTGCTATCTGATTTTTTTTTATGTGAAATTTGTGACTGTGTTCACAATGTTCTCAAGTTTTGGGCAGAATATGTGAAAACCTCTGACCTTCCCATGTCATAATAATAATAAAGATCTGTGAATTATGCAAGCATGACGGACGATTACGTCTTGAGTGTGAGAGACATGGAGTCTCACTTATGTATAAGATAAGTGTGATTCTTTGATCTACTAGTTAATGATTGATAAATTCAAAACCTACTCACGTTACACACAGCATAGTACATCAATGGTCCTCCTCTTCTGGTTGCCCAATCCTTTAATTCAAATGTTCCACAATATCTCCTTGGGCTATATTTCCTCCAGTTTATAATAGCACCTCAGTGGATAGCACTGAAAAATGATGAAAAAGGCAGAAACAAACCTACGTCGCGATGGTAGCTGTCTCGGAATTATGGCAATGATAAATCAGAAGAATAGTTCTACTTAGTCCTTGGAATCCCTTTCATCGTGTTAAGTTGAAATCACGTGCAGACTGATAAATGGACTCGAAGTGATATGCAGGAATGATAGTTAACTACATAAGAATATAATAATACTCCGTTGATTTGTTGTTTTCCCTTTCACCAAGTGTTGCCTGTCTTTTGCACTTCTTTCACCGTACTGATGAGGGGCGAAAGCTCGAAAAACGTATATACGGTTATCTCTTTGTGAGGGCTATGTCCAATAATCTCTTCCTAGTCACTTGACAGTTCCCTCGATAATATTTGCATCTCATAGCTGCCTCCGTGATGACGTTAGTTGTTTCTCTGAAACCTCAGGGTCTGCTGACTGAAATCACAAATGTGCGGCTGGCTTCTGTTTGTTGATTCCGTTTATTTGTTGTTCCGTTCTCTACCAAGTGCTGCCTATCCTTTGCACTACCTTTCACCGTATAGTCGCATTCTAAAAAAGAGCGTTCAAGTACATTACAGAGAGAAATCATCATCCTATTCTGCATAAAACGGGCCATCTAGAATGATTGCATACCAAATGTTGACAGTAAAGTTGTCATAGGTTCTCAAAAACACAAAGCATTGGCTGAGTCAGTTTTACACAACCAGAACTAGGATCCTGAAATCCTCTCTTTTCAATACTTGTACGCTTTTTTATTCAATACGACTGTACTAATGAGGGCCGAAAGCCCGAAACATGTGAATACGGTTATCTCTTTGTGAGGGCTATGTCCAATAATCTCTTCCATGTCACTTTACAGTTCACCCGATAAAGACTCTGTGAGTGATCAATGATCCACGAAATTATCAAATCATACATGTACCAACATGTGCTATGCCTAACCGGACTTAAAGAATATATATTTTCCCTTGAACTGGCAAGAAAAGATAATCAATAATCAATAAATTTGTTTTTTTTTCAGAGACTGCAAATGGTTATCATCTTATGTTGAAAAATAATTCAAAATTCCAAGAAATTGCGAAATGAATGGTCATACCTATTTCAAAATTAATCTCAAGTCGACCGTTCAAGCCGAGTGCCAAATCAGGATGTAAGAAATGGACGATAATCATCAGCTGACCAATCCAACGATGGCAATATTTTCAGAAAAATTCATCAATTTCGAAAGTTGAAACCTCGGATTGAGATTAATTCCCGGAAAAAAATGTTGGAGCATTCGGCCATCATAATAACAAATATATGTTTTTTAAATTCACTCATAACCTTCCTAAAATAAAACGAATGTGATATATTCTTTATATGTTCAGTTGAATAATAATGAATGTTATTGAAGAAAAAACTGATGGAAAAGGTCTTTCATTGTATCAGTAAAAAAAAAGTTTCAAGTCAAAAACCCGAAAATTGTGTTAATATTTTTTAATTCAATGAATATATTTCATTTCTGCATTCTGCTTTGGTCCGTGTTTAATACGCCTAAGCCACTGGTAGACTACACTGATGCCAGCGCGACGAGAACAGAAATATATTTGAAGTAGAGCAAAACACAAGTCTTCGATGACGCCTGTGTATTTTTCTCAGTTGATTCGCTCTTTACACATAGTCAAACATTACCCAGCTCGGTAAATTTTGATTATTTTATTTTGCATCTCACAGTTTTAATATTTGCTGCAAAAAATTTTGGTTGAAAAATATATTGATAGGTACAAGAAAATGATTGATTGATAAGCTAGCTGATAAGTGTTCTTTGCTTGAAAGGAAACATAATTTCGCCATTGGGGCCATTCGATGGATGGAAATATTGAAAGGTAATCTGCGATTCGAATATCGAACAGGTGAGTATGTGTTTGTCCTCTCTGTATCCTCAAACATTATATAGAGATTCCTCCTCATGCGCTTCAAGAAATGAAAAAATCAAGAAATGAAAAAAATACCAATGCAATTCAATCAACCATTTTATGTACCAATAGGTGCAATTTATCACTAACTGGTTGAGGCACGCAATTCAAGGGAGAAGTAGGGAAATAGTAATAATAAAAATTGATATGGAGATAGTATTATATTCTGTTTTTTTTTTCTTCATGTTTTTTTAGTAGTTTACATCTATTTATATAAAAAAGGGTGAATCATAGGAATATTCACAACTATTCAGATTTCTCACTGAATTATAATGGTCATGTCAGTAATGTTCATCCTGGAATGTATGTCAATCTTATTTTTTGTCGATAGGAAATTTTGAGATGGAGTTGATCTAATTCAGACTCCATTTGTAGGAAATGGAATATTCAATATATCATCATTATCATCTTTTTATTGTTTTTGAATAAATCAGAAATTCATATTCATCATACAGGACGTGGAAATGAATTCTGAAGTGTAAAAACCAACTTTCGGCACTATCTGTATTTTGATTGTGCAATTCATTGAAAAGATTTCCATATGTTGCACACTTAAATGACCACACTGTATATACATGAAGAAATACATGTATTTCTCTGAATAGGAATATTTATCCATTTTTTCATGTTCATGATTCATCTTAAAATATTCCTTCTCCATCTTTTCATTGGTTTTTTGAATGACTGATTTGTATGCCGGAAATAAGTCACTCCACTAATATAGAGACCATATGTGTAATGTATATATTTTCTTAAGATATTCCACATTCATGTTACTAGGTGGATATTCAAGGAAAATTAAGATAGAAACGTTCTTCATTCAGTGTTTCGAAAGCGTTTCTTGACTTGTTTGTTAGGCATGTTTCAGAAATGTTTCATTAACGTTTCTTTGGTATTTTTAGGAAACGTTAACACCGCAAACATTAAGGATCCCATGAATGTTTAATAGACGGCTCAGTGATTTACTCAGAAACATCCCATGGATTATTGCAATATTCTCGAAACATTTCGAGAGCATAACTTTGCTTGAAATGGAGTAGTTCAACGAATAGGAGATTCCATAAAACCCATGGAGATCTCATGACGTCCAAAGATGTCTTTCATAGACATACATAAGATATTCTTCATGTCATGGAAGTCCATATTGTAGATTTCATGGACGTCCATAAAGAGCATCTCATGGACGTTCAGGGTGGTGGTCTAAGGACATCCAGTGGACGTCCATGCAATTTTCTTCGGATAATATTTAAACATTCATGGGATATCCAAAATTTTCTCAAATAATTTCCACTTGATATCCATCGGATGTCCATGTCCATGCTGTATGGGCTGGTATGGAATATTTTCAGCTATTGCTTCATCAATAGAAATTGAAATATAAATATTCATCACTACAAGGTTTTCATCGTGTGAATAAACTGAATTGGTTAAATGAGAATATAGATTTTGCAGCATGTTATCCTTCTGATAATTTTCATTTCAATTTGGATATGTACGAATGGAATAATGATTCAATAGGTGATAAATTACTTGAGAGTTGGATAAGAACTCTCTAATCCAATGCCACATAAATTATCTGCATTCCTTTGGAATCTGATATAACCTTGTTCGCCCCAAGTTTTACCCCAAGAATTTTTTATTATCCAATAATCGATTGTACCATTTTTAGTTGATTGCGATCCATATCCGACTGCTAGTACTGCGTGGTTTATGTCAATTGTTTTACACTTGGTCGTGTATATTCCTCCAACGTATAGCTGGATGTTATCTGCATCGATAGCCACTGATATTGGTCCAATAGATGCTATAAAAAAAGAGATGTATGTTAATTCTGAAATTCCAATTTGAATTCAGCAAAGAGATCGATACTCTGAAGCAAGATAACAAGAAACTCAAGGAAAAGCTACAAAATCTAACTAAGAATGTTGAAAAACATGATCAGCATGTTAAAAGCAGAACTATCCGATTCTATGGTGTAATGAGAATGAAAGAAAGAATTGTGTGGAGGTAATTCGTGGAATTTTATCGACTGAAATGAATATAAATATGCCATCTGGATACTTGCTATAGAGTTAGGAAGTATACACAGAATGAAAAACTCGCTATCCTGGTTAAATATTCGACAGTACTCTACAAAAACATGGTGTATAAATGTCTAAATACATTGTTGTTAAGGAAGACCTATCCATTGAACAGATGCAAATCTTCAAAGCGGCTCTCGATAAAGTTGGCAACGATGGAAGAGTATGGACGAACATCAGAAACATCTTTCTTAAATTTAATGATTATGAAAACTTGATAAAAGTAAAATGTTCGGGTGACGTGGATAATATGTGAGAGTTTTTTTTCTCTCTTAACTATATATTTTTTTATTTGGATCAAGGGAAATTTTGGCGAAGTACATTTTTTTTGTTTGAATATAATTATTATGTTTTTTTTATTTTGTACGCCTAATACTCCTTTCATATCTGATGAGTTATGTAATTTAATTTTTATAATAATCGGATCGTAGGTATGCGAAATATAATTTAAATGTAAAAATGTCAAACTATGTGCAGTTGATTCCGCACCGTCTACAATTAGTATATTCTGATCTTTCATACCTTGATAAGAAATTCGAAGTTCTTCGTTTCATATCATTCTGAGAATATAAAAAGATCGATATTTTACTACATATCAGTTCATGGTAAAAACGTTTAGATTAGGAAGTATAAATGTCCGATCGTTATTAACCTCTCTTCGCGTAATTAAATCATTAATATCTGATAAGCATTTTGATTTACTGCTTATTTGCGAGTCCTGGCTCATAAATGATATAGCTGATGAACTTATAAACATAGATGAGTACAAATTATATAGAATTGATCGTGAAACTAGAGGAGGAGGCCTTTGTATTTACTGTAAAAATTCTATCAGAAGTCAACTAATGAATCATAACGATAATAAGAAAACTGTGTATTCTGAACAGCTTCAGATCAAAGTCACAATTGGAAAAAAAACTCGCCATTGGTAATGCATATAGACCTCCTCGTTAAGATGTAGGCCAATTTTCAAATGACCTCGAGGATTCACTTAGCATAATTTGCCCTATTGTTGATGAAAATGTTGTGGGGACTTCAATATTAACCTTTCGGATATTAATTCTAGTGATGTAGATACGTTTGATTCCGTCTTAGAATCCTTTGATCTAATTCAAATTGTGGACAATCCTACTCGAATAACAGCTACTACTCTTACTCTGTTGGATGTTATAATTACTGATAATAAACAAATAATAGAGAACGGGATTGTTGATTCCAACGGAATATCTGATCATTCGCTCGTATACTACAAGATAAAAGTCAACAATGACGAGCAGAGCTCTAGATTGCATACTTATAGTTGTTTCAAATGAATCTTATCAATACACCTTTCCACAGAACATTTGATCAAGAAAACATTGATGAAAAAGGTTTCCTCTTGGTGAATTTATTACTGAATTTATTTGATAGACATGCACCTATCGTAACATCGAGAGTAACGAAACCAAGAGCTCCGTGGTTAACAGGACCCTGAAAGATATGATGAATTCAAGAGATGATGCACTCAAAAAATATAAGAAATCTAATTCTGAAACTCATTTCCAGTTATATGAAGATATGCGCAACTATGTTAATGAAGCTGTGGCGAGAGAAAAGAAGGCATATTTTTTACAAAGATTCAACACTACTGACAGGAAAGAATTGTAAAATGATAGCAGATAAGTATAGAGATTTCCCAATGGGACTTAAAAAAGTAAATGAAATTGATGATCTTCTGATAAACTCTATTCCAGGCGGTTCCCCATCTCCAGAACTTTTGAATTTTTATAAAACCAACTGTTTGATGGATTCCGAATTAGATTTCGAGGAAATTAATGATCTCTTTGTATATGGAACAATATGTGCAATCAAAACCAATGCTGTAGTTCCGTATATTACCCATTTGCAAAATTATTGTATAACTGAGAATGTATTTCGAGTGGCATTGAAAATAGCAGTTGTGAAAGAATTTCCAAGAAAACAAAATCCTTCAGAATTCAAAGATTTGAGAGGTTTGAGTATTCTTCATGTACTTTCTTAAGTTCTGGAAAAAGCAATAGAATTTCAGTTTCGCAGGCACCTAAATGAATTTTCTCCATTACCTAAAATACAATCGGGATTTTGGAAGGGATATAGTTGTACAACTGCTTTTCTCCATGTCGTAGATGATATTTTCAGAGCAAAGGACCAAGGATCACCTACAGCATTGGTTTTGCTTGATTTCAGTCGGGCATACGAAACCATAAGCTCAATTCAATTCAATTGAAAATATCTCTTCATCTTGAAAACGGGAGGAGAATTGGTCCCGAAACGTCCAAAGATAAGTGAAAATTTGATATTTTTTCTATATACCTTTATTTCTCTTCTCCAAAAATTTTTCAATACAAATTGTCACTGACAAGCTAGTGAATTTTTCTTTTAGGCTCTCTGATAGGAAAATTCTTTAAACGCAGTGACATTTTGGGGCAAATCATCTGATTTGTCCTTACTATACACGTATATTGAAATAATATTCATATTTTTATTTTATAGAAACGAGGAGAGAAAATCCCAAAAAATTTGGAATAATGAATCTTATAAAATTGGCGCAGTCGAAGATTTGCTACATGAGGATTTTGTTGATTTCCTGAAGATCATCATACAGATCTTCAGCATTAGCCTTGGTTAAGAGAAGCAGCGACAGAAACTATCCACTGGTATCCAGACCTGAGTAGATAAACTTTTCAATTGCAATTTTTGTTGATGTATAATACTCAATTCCAATCACAATGCTAGATCCTTCAACTCCTTCAACTCCTAATAACACAACTTCATCAACTTCACGAACTCTATCTCAAAACATGCGAATACATACAATGTCAGATAGCAGATCAATCATTTATGAAGATTTTCATGGTGACCGAAACAAGTTGTATGATTTTCAACAATTTTGATGGGATGAGAACTTGTCTTATTCAATTAATTGGTGATAGACGCGATCTTTCACAAATCTCAGTAGAACTCAATACAGTCAGGCAAACTGAAAATGACTCATTTCGAAGTTATCTCTACGAAATCGAAAATTCACAAACACATGCTTCCAATTCAATCAATATGAATGACGTAGGTATACACGGTAGAATGGAATTGAATGAAGAATTATCTCTCCAACGTTTCGCTTCACATTCAACTGACGGGATCTCTCCAGCATTACGCCGATCAAATTCAGGAAATATAAATGAGGCGTTAACTGAGGCTTTACTCGAAGCAAAATAGTTTTTCGTAAGAAAATGAAAATTGTTCAATACCTATAACGAGAAATATTGTAATCTCTGTAAGAAAAGGGGACATTTGATCAGAGAATATCACGCGAAAAGAAATCTTCAAACTCAACCTTTCACTTCAAAATCGAATAATTTTGATAAATTCTGTATTCTTGTATCAGAATGTAGGAAACGGGAATACAACAGTCAACGAAATCAAAATAATCAACACCCTGATACAAAAAATTCCAATCAAAATCGCACGCAGTCAAATACGAATCCAAATCGGAATCATTCATCTTCTCGAGAAAGGCGTTCCTCAAACCAAATCAGATCTAACTCTAACAATCAATCAAATCCTCAAACGGTAAATTTTAACTCCAACGATTCAACCAAGAGTGTCGGCACGTTGAACTAGAAACAAAAGACGACACCATGACCAAAAATCATCTCAAAAACGATATTCATACAAGCACACAAACAAACTCTCTCACAAAAAATATTTCGAACACTCGATATAATTACAAATATAAGATTTTCAGTACTAACTTCTCTGAAAGAACATGATGTATATGTAATACTACCTCATATCGATAAGAATAATGAAATCATGTACTTCGAGCTACTTCTTGATACAGGCTCTAGATTCACAATGATAAAAATCATAAGTTAAAGCAAAAATCCTTGGGGTACAACCCACACGAATCACTGAATGTCAGCAAAGTGACTTCAGATTCGTCACTAATTACACAAGGTACAATTTTCATTAATCCAATATCATCAGCTGTTCCAAGCGATGGAGTATTAGGTCATAATTTTCTTGTGCAGGAGAATTAACTCAGAGAAACGAGAAATAAAATCAGAATCCTCACCTTTTCCACTAAAATTCGCATCAGAACACAAATGTATCAACATGACATATATAAAACTGATCATCACTCTTCAACCAAGATCCTAAACTTTTAATGAAGTTGATATCAAGAACCCAGAAATATTAATAGGAACATCTCCTGAAACTCAACTCTCTCAAAGAGTGTTTTTGGTCAAAGCATCAAGAATTCAACAAACTGCTACGCATTCAATGATAAAAACCATTTATTTACTCATTTTACACCATACAAACCAGTATTTGGAAACGAAGTAATTTTACCATATAAAATCACTCGAGAACCGGAATTCATATTCATATGATGACTATTATAACCAATTACAATTAAAACTCGTTGAATCCTCCCAACTATCTCGAGACAATATAATCGAATGAAACGAATGAATCAAGAAAATATTATAATCAAGAATTGAACGATCACGAATGCAAAATTGGTATATTAAATTGATAAGAGTACAAAAACAGGTGTAAACGAGAAACTGTTGCCAAACTTCAAAGAACCCGATAAAATAGTGAAAGTTGATTCAAACAACACAGTTGTTTTGGAAATGAAAAATAAATATTGTACGTATCACAAGGATCGATTGAAACCGTACATGGTTTCAGATGAGGA